ATGTGAGGCCTCTTTTCCTTATTATATGATTTGCCTTCAAGGAGTTATTTTAGTGTCAAAAACTTGTAGTGGGGATTTTTTTGGCTGGTTGCTTGTGTTACATATGTTATCAAAATGATTTCTTGACCTGGGGATGGAATCAATATTCTACCTGCCCTTTTTTTGTTTGGTTTACTGTAAAAATAAAGTAAATGAAATTGTTAAAGCATGCATAACAGAGACATTGGAATAAGTGCTTTTTGGGATTGAACTTTTTGTGTTGGCATATGACAATGGGATAAGGAATTTAAGATGTTCTTGCAAACTAAAACGTTGGCATGGGCAAAAGCGTGGCTATCTATAAGAAGCAACACAGATTCCCCTGCCTTGCTCACCTTTTTTTATAGCACTATAAGATTTTTATTCCTAACATGGTTGCAGGTGGACTATTCATGCACCCCTGAAGAAGTGCAGCAGCATTTCCAGGCATGTGGGACAATAAATAGGGTCACTATCCGTTCTGACAAGTATGGCCAGCCAAAGGGTTATGCATATGTCGAATTCCTTGAACCAGAGGCTGTGCAGGAGGCTCTCCTTCTGAACGAGTCTGAGTTACATGGTCGCCAATTGAAGGTAAAGAAACTGTATTTTTCTCCCTATCTAATTGCAATCTTCAGTCCCTTAACCTTGATAACCTTAGGCTCTATTCTTTCTTTTCTCTAAACTATTTCTCAACCACAAATTGGTTTGTTCTGTGCTTTTGCAGGTAACTGTTAAGCGGACCAATCTACCTGGGATGAAGCAGTTTCGCGCTCGTCGACCCAACCCATATATGGGGTTTCCACCCAGGGGCGCTCCTATGCCTCCTTATCTCTTTTCTCCTTATGGATATGGGTACACTATCTAAGAAGTGCATTACATTTACGCTTTTACTTGCTTTTTCTGTCTTGATCTATAAGGAGCGATGATGGTCATTTAGCATGTTTTCTTTGCACTGCAGGAAGGTTCTGAGATACAGAATGCCAATGCGTTACAGCCCCTATGGCTGAAATACTATTTTGTTTGAGGCAGCATTGCCAGCAGAGAGATACATCTAACAAAATTTGTACTCTCTTTTCTTCTCACATGTTTTAATCATTGGGAAAGATGAACAGAAGATTTTTCCCTGCTTGGGTTGACACGTTGAAATGTGAGAATTGGAGCTTTATTTTGTTCATGGTAGACAATGAAATCAAAATGCCTGCTTCTTCTGTACTGCCTAAAAATATTCATGCTTGAGCTATCTTGAAAGCTTCCTCTGGTTCCAATATTATAGTTTTTGTCACGTACATTGCTGCCTCTGTGTCTTTGCTTAAATTAAGCCTACTTTCTTTCTTTGGAACTTTTCTGTTTGAGATGTCAACTGATGCTGCTATGGTTATCTTGACTGCTTTTCAGACTATCTATTTTTTTACCCAAAGAGAGTACCATCCGCCTAAAAGCATAGTGCCTGTTTTTGTGGTTGAATATGTTTTTCAGAGTGCTTTTCTCTTGAAAAGTATTAAATTGATTGTTTTTAGATGCTTTTCATGATGTCTTGATGACAAAAAATTTGAAAAAATATCTGAAAAAAATTATTTTGATGTATTTTTAATTGAAAATCACTTTGCGTTGCTTTACCAATGAACTATGTTAGTGGGACATGAGTATGATTTTATGGGATATTTTTCAAAGCCTGTGATCTTGCAGGTGCAAGGAGCTTACTACTACTAAGCCATGCCTACGGATTTCCAACTCTAGATTCATTTGTGAGCTTTTTGTCATTTAAATTGTGTTGGCTTGAAGTATTTGTACATGAGATAGCATTACTCAATGACTCGAGCATTGGCAACGCAAACGAATTCTTCATGGGCTACCAACAATCTAGAATCTTATCCGAATGTAAAACCCAAATGGGTCTTATGTTTATTAAGATGATTATAAAACTGAAAATTAAGTTTTTGCCATTACATATGATGCATAAATGTTAGTTTTGTTAATGGATGATAGATACAACTTTGACCCACATTGCCTAGTTACAAGACTCGGTCAGGTGGGCAATGGATGACAGGTGCCGTTCATGACTTGCTTACTGAGTTGATAAAACCTTGGCTGCTTCTGAACTTGCAGCTGATAATCCAATCATGACCGCAAAACGAGTGCTTGCTCTCACCCGTGGGCATTAGCTTGCCTAAAAAATTATGGGTTTCAGCCTTTTAACATTCCTTTTGAGCTGGTTTACTTGCTGAGTGAGCAATGAGACTTTGTACCGTAGGCCTCTGTCAGATTGCTGGTAGATGTGAATTAAGCTCGCCCATGCATAGTAATGGCTGACGATTATTAGATCATCCTTTATACCCGCTCATCATGGCACAAGGCATAGAGTGCTTCGTGATTTCCACAGACAAAGAAGGCAAGCATCATGGCAATGTGTGACCCATACTGTTTTGATTGCACGTAAGCATGTTTGCTAATATAGGAGTTGGTTTTGAGGCTTTTCTTTTCCTCCATCTACCGTGGATATACAGTGATGGTGTGTTAGAGAATGGACAAAAGTCATTGGTACTGCAAATATGTACTGTTTAGTACCGATCTCTGTACTGTTAGGGTCAAGACATGATATTTAAAGAACATATTTCACATGGTTGAAAAGCGGGCAAGTGTTTTTTCATTACTTTCCAAGAACAAATCAATCTCACAGGACGAATCCGATGAAAAAAAAGGTCACCGATGGTGTTATGACCGAAGTGAAAGCATGCAGATTAGCTCATCTCAAGTTACAGCACGCAACAATTTTTCCTCAAGAAAATGAAGAGGTTAAAATTTCAGGAAGAATCCAAGGGAGGCATTTAGTCACAGGTGTTGAAATTGCTTGATCTTATCCTCTCATGTCACAACATGATCCTGGGCTCATTAATGGTCCCTACAAAATCATTGATGGCCAAACCCCATTAATATAGTGAAATGCACCTCATCATTCCCCTAATGCTGTCATTACGGTCTCCTAGCCTCCAGCATCATTCATGCAGGCACACCCCCTTCGGCTTTCATTACCCCATCTTTCCTGGAAACCAAACAGAATTAACCCCCTTCGGCTTTCATTAACCCATCTTTCCTGGAAACCAAACAGAATTACCACTTCGAATCCTACAAATTAATCCATGCAAATCCCACTTTACACACAACTGTTTATTATTATTATTATTATTATAATATTTATATCTCTTCTGCATTTTTCATAAGGAGAATTTACAGGTCACCCAAAAGGACAAACTAGTCCATCATCATCAAGTCTAAGAAAGAGAGAGAAGAAAAAACCAGGACCCGATTTTTTTTACACAAGTGTCTTGCAGGCACTTGATTTTGGGTCCCACATAGCAGGCAACATATACTTCCTTCCATTGACACCATAAGCATTGTAGCTAGCACCTGTGACCTTATCAACCAGGACCCGACCCGGATAACCTGGATAGGACCCTGACCCGAAGATCCCAGTACATGCCGAAACAGCCTCCAAAGGAGCAGTTGGTGGACCCTGAAAGTACCCAGTGTTGAACGGATTGGTAACGGTGTTAGCCAACAAAGTAGCCAGGTTGATGATCATTCCGTCAACTCCAACGTCTCCGTTCGGTGCCACCAAGGGTGGTGTCTGTGGGCCGTAGAGTGGCTGGTGAAACGGCCAAGCACACTGGCCCGGACACTGAAGGTCCGAGTTACCAACCCAAATGTAGGTTCCCCGACCCGACCCGGATTTTGTTGACCCGTGTGTCCCACACCTGTTCATGCAAAACCCATCAACGGCAACATCTTTCGCCGTCAGAACAACGTTAATGGCGTTAACGGTGAAATGGGTTTTCGAGGCCAGAGCTATCAAATGTTGGCTCTTCAAGATTTTGCCTAGTGTTAACTCTTCATGAAGTATTTGATGGCCTACAGTGAGGGACGATGAACCACCACGGTACATCTCAGTTGTCTTCCACCATGAAGAGGTGGCAGGAAGTGGGGCCCCTTTGGAGTTCAAAGAGTTGATGAAGTCAACGATTATAGACCGTTGGATAGGTGTAAACTCGCCATACCAGATTAGATTAACTGTGATGTTTCCTTTCAAGAGGATGCCGTTGTGGTACTTCAGCACCAAAGGTTGTTCTTGAACCAAAGCTGAGAGAGAAGGGCTAATGAAACAGAAGAGGAAAGCAAGAGGGGCAAGGTAGTAATTAGAAGCCATCGGTGGGGGTACGGATTCGTCCAGAGGAAAGGTGGTATAGGCCTGGCTTGTGGAGGTAGAAGAGGGCGATGGGCTATTTATAAGAGGGAGAAGAGTAAGGGAGACAGCTGGTGATGGACTGTGTCAACATCAAGGGAAGGACACATGGAATTGTGTGATTGGGAGGGAAGTGTGAAGAGGAGTCTCTGCCAGGCTGTAAGGTTCTTTTGGTGGTGACGTGGTGGTGGTATGTGGAAGGGGGGGAAGGGTGGGTTTGGTTTTTTTATTTGAAGGTGTGATGATAACTTTTGGGTTTTTGGAGTTTTCATGGGGGGGAAGGGTGGGTTTGGTTTTTTATTAGGTGTGGTGATAACTTTTGGGTTTTTGGAGTTTTCATGCATGAAATGGAAGCAGAGAAAAGGGCTGCTGATGAGATTAATCGTAGTTTAATAACTATGTACTATATCATCTAAACGAGATAAATGGAAAATATTTCAATGTCTAAATTAATTTCACAGCTTATAATTGAAAAAAAGAAGAAGAAGTAGTTTCAACTATATATTTTTTTAAAAATGAAATAAGTAATATAATATAGATATGATGTTTTCTATATATATATATATATATATATATATATTATTTTGATCTGATAACCAAACTCTCAAAAATAAAAATCATTATCATCATTGATTCTAAGCTCCACCCTCGTCAAATCAAACCTTTCTGTATATAAAACATGGATCGATGGCATCAGAAACCAATGGACCACAAATTGTAAAATCATCTTCTTTAGTCTTTACGGTGGTAGACAGAGGCTAAGGAGCTAAGGTCTGGTGCTCGACTACCAGAGCTAGCTCCTACTGCGTAAATGGAGATGTGGCCCACAGTCTCTGAGCTTTGATGACATCAAGCATTTGGACACTACTGTAAGCTTGTTGCAGACTTCGATGGTAGTGTTTCAGTGCCCTTTTCTTAAATAAGCATTTATTTAAAATTGTTATTTAATATTCTGCTGCTGAATACACGCATGATTTTTATTATATTCAGTGGGGTCCTTAGGCTCAGTTCCCCATGCTTGCTCAAGAGCTATGGCCATGGATGATGGACCTTTGCCCCCTTTGAAAGGTGTGGCCATGCTTGTTTTGTGTTCTTCTTTCTTCCTCCAAGAAAAGAGACTGGAGAGTTTAGGAAGGTGAGTTATGCTTCCTCTATATATATATAATGAGCAATGAAAATGTTTTTTGAATTAAAGTTGTGTATTTTGACCACTTTTCTATTATTTAGTTTGAAATAGTTAGGTTTGAAGTTCAATCACCATATTAAAACAAAATCAATTATGAACTCAGTAATATGTAATTAATTAATTAATTAATTAATCTATTTATATCGATTCATCAAATCAATCATCTTGATTTGATTGACTCTATATTAATTTTACTACACCTATTCATCTTTGTTTTCTTTCTTTCTTTCGTTTTAGTACAAAGTTTTTTTAGAGAAAAATATTAATGTTATTTGAATTAGATTTCATTGACTTTTGATAAGATTTTTATCATAAAAAATTATTAATGTGATTATAAAAAAATTAAAATTAATACTCAATTATGTTTATAAATTTACTTTCATAAAAACAAGAGGCGATCCGATGATAAAATGTGATATATCACTTCTAACGACCTTGTTGTTGCATACATGTCTAACACGGTTAAGGTAATAATCTTGCATAGTAATTAAAAAAATCACGAGCAAAATCTCTTCTATATATAGTTTGGAAAGAGGCTGCGATTTCAGGATCATGACTCAATTATGCAATACGTGAACTTGAATGATGGATTCTCCATGCATCACGATATCTCACTTGATTTTGTGACTGCCATAGGTGTCCGATTTACTCCATGATTAAACTGAATTAAAGGTTTGAGTTGCTGCTTAACCTGAATTGATTATAAAATAACATTGTTGAATAGTTTTATATTAAGATTAAAGAGATTTTTTTTTAAATTTGACCCGATTATATCTCATATTGGTTGCAAGTTGATTTGCTAAGTTACTTCAATTTAACCAAGTCAATGATCAAAAGTGTTTATAAACAAACTTAATCAGAGATAGTCTCCAAATTAACCTGTATTTAAGCTTCGTTTAAGTATGTGGTTTTCAACAGCATAAAACAAAAAAATCAGCAATGAAACATGGTTCCAGCCACTTAACCAAAACCGCTTAACCACAGAGTCACAGGCTATACAATAAGTTTGAGAAAGGAGTAGGAAAGCTAGAAAACAAGAAAGGTGGGGTTCGGTTCTGGGTGGGGGTTGGTTCGTGGCCTGGAAACAAGAGGGAGAAAAAGTTGTGGCCGTCCCAATAGGGTTTTTGAAATCCTCCAAATACAGCGCCTTTTGCTTTCTGGGCAAATGCAATATTGCAGTGCTCATTTGCCCGAGCATGCCCTGCCCAAATGGGGCCGGTGCCGACTCTCTCTGCTGCCACACTTGACTTCTACTTCACATGTTTTGCAATTGCTGGCATGCATTTCAACACCATAATATTCTTTCTTACTATCATATCACGAGGAACAAAAAAATCTTGTGGTTTAAAAATCAAACAATAAATATCTTGCTGCGTAATTTAGTATAAAAAAACCCGAAAAAAGATCATCTGGTAGGGTAAGTATTTGAGATTTGCGAAAGAGAAAGATCACATTTTAAGAAGACATGCCATGCCGCCTTCCAAATACCCTTAAATGTTAGCAGATGGCAAGATAATTTAAGATAAACTAAAAGATAATTAATCCCATTAAATAATTTAATTTCTTCTATGGGATTACAATTTTGTTCCTGAAATACAACATTGATTACAAAAGAATACGTACCACATGGTATATATTGGGTTTTAAATGGAGATTGGACAAAATTTAAAATCTTTTACATCACAATTTTTTCACATTACAAATGGAAGAAATTTAACCCGGCCCGACTATTGCTCGAAACTTGAATTGACCAAGCTATATTAATTAATTAATTGATTGATTGATTGATTGATTGATTGTAACGAGAAAGGCACAATACTACCTACCATCCAAAAATCGAAGACCTAAAGAAGATTGAGGTAAATTAAATTATGGCTGAAAAATTTTCATGCTACAGGGAGAAATTAATATTATTATTAATTTTAAAAAAATTGAGTTACTTAATTATAGGTAAAGTTTTATTATTGTTTCAAGACTACGATAACATAGGCAGTGAGAATAAAAATATAATTTGTTAAGGAGATAAAAATAATAATATTTTTATGATAATTTTAAAGTAAATTTTTATACTTTTAAAACATGAAGTATAAAGACAACGTGTCATTTTTTTATATTCACTATCCTCTCTCTTATAATTATTCCTTTAAAATCAGGCTAGTAGAGCTATGGGAAAATCTATGTAAAACTCTTTTTTTTTCTTTTGTAATAAATTGTGTACAAGGAACATAACTCATGGAAACAAATACATAGAAGATGTTCAATTGGAGTTCATTTAACAGTTTAGGAGTGAGACAATATATGGATATGATCCAAAGAACTCAATTATTTATTTAAGCTCTACATTCCATTAACTTAATCATCCAACTTCTTTCCGGTGGTCAATGAAAACAACTAAGGTATGATTATTAAACAAAAACAAATCAAACAAAGATCCAAACTCCCTCATTTCCTAATGTTTCAATCGCCAAGTTGTGCTGTAAAAAGAAGAGTAAATGAAAAGAAGAGAGAATCACTTCAAAAGGTAGCAAAAGTTAAGGCGGTGAATTTACAAAGCTATGTTTCACGTGCAAAAACCAATACACAAGGTGACAATTTCATAGTCAAAAATGGCCAGCAGATTTGCGATGCACGTAGGACCAGACAGACCTAGATTGCCCGTGGTACCTCTCTTTTCTTGATTCCAATGGATGGGTAAAAGCAGACGATCCTGGTTCCTCAACCTGCAGATTCTTGAAGACATGGTAATCTTTGGAGGGTTAATTTTATTATTTCGTCCATTTGTTCTCGATATTCTCTTAATATGGTCCCCTTGCTCCTTTTGTGCTAGGTTGATCCCTATAAATAACCAGATTTCTTAATATGACCCTTTCAGCAAATTAAGGAATTCATGTGAAATTGGTTGAAGGAACAAATGGATCGACTAAAAAAAGAAAAAAGAAGAGTAGAAGGCTTATCTTAAGAGTATATCAAGATTACAATGACCAAATTTACTGTAAATTCAATCAAAAGCTTTAGGAGTTATGAACCACACCAAGAACCGAATTTAAGAGAGGATAAGCATGTCTCCAAAAAGTTGTACCAATAAATTTTGAAGAACACCCGGGCCTTTTTTTTTTCTTTTTTTTTTTTACTTTTATTTTGCCATTATATGAAAAAACTTTGAAGGACTTTTAGGTTATAGCTACCTCTTACCTAGCTTGTCTCTTCCCTCTCTCTCTCTCTCTCTTCTCGTAGGGTATAGAAAAAAAATCAACTATTTGGATTTTAATTTTATTAATAGATTTTTAATCTCTTTCGCTACAAAGTATAAGGTCTCTGGATTTAATCGTTTCATGTTGTCCTACAAAAACAATTTTTCTATCAAGACTACATGACATGCCGGCGCACTCTCATTGGCTTGAGGTATACTTGTATTTTATCGTGAATTTATAAAAAAATA